ACTTTGGTACTTGAAGCTAGTGAAAATTCTGCTGAATATGGCTTAGAATATATTTGGTTTTGAGAGGAAGGTATATGTGTCACTCGAGTGCAGTTAATGCCACAGTTTGCAGTTCATTTGTCCCTCAGTCTCGTTTTGAGGTTTGACATCTCTGTGTTGGGTCAAATAGTGCTAATGTATTACTTATGCGTTGTGTAATTCTACAACGATCATCTCTTTCTACATTTCCGTGTGGAAAACCATGGCAGCTGGCCTAAAAATTCAGTTAGTGTTAGTTTTACTCTCATGAGTGTTAGATAATATACGACTCTCTCCCTTCAGAGGTGACAAGTAAAGCATGAAGCATGTCCAAAAATGGTTTTTAATTTAAATCACCTTCTTGCAATGAAATATTTTTGACACATTAAATTTAGTCATGCCAGCCTGTGTTTTAGCCCCAAGTGCTGCAACAAATATGTTTTTGTACGTCCATGTCAGGACTCTTGGAATGTTGGGTTTAGTTTAGGTTCAGTTTGATTTACGCATCTATTGAAATCTCCTTATGTGAGAAGAATCAGCGTAGTCAACATATTGTTTCCATTGAAGCCTGATGCATTCAACATCACTCATGTAACCCTGACATAAGTAAAACAGATGATGTGCGTCCAGGAGAGTTATAGACTGTAGCATAACAGAGAGATTCTTGTTAAATTTATGGACATGTGAACCTGAAAACATTTCAGAGATGCCAGTGATTCGCTGGAACCTGGTTTGCTTGAGAAAAAGCATGCAAAGGACATTATTTGCTTCCTTAAAGTGACTATTTGGTGTTTTTCTTCCACAGTATCCCGCAGCCCTCATGAACCTCGGAGCCATTCTCCATCTCAACGGCAAACTCCAAGAAGCGGAGGCCAATTATCTGCGAGCCTTGCAGCTGAAGCCGGACGACACCATCACTCAGTCCAACTTGCGGAAGCTGTGGAACATCATGGAAAAACAGGGCTTGAGGACCATGGCTCCTTGACTTGGACATATTTGATGGAGCACCTTCACTGAGGTTGTAAAGGAGATGTTCTCTCGGAGCTCTCACTAATGAGGTAATCAACATCCTAGGGCTTCAATCCTGGGTTACCTCATGGGACGCTTGAACATATGAGAGCAACTACATCTGGTAAAACCAACAATCTAGAACTGTGGAGCTCCCCAGACATGTCGGGAGTTGTTAACTTGAAGTGGCCCATAGATACATACTTGAAGTCTCATGATAAATTAGATTTTAATTAGTTAGTCAATGCTTAATAGTCTTGAAGGGCAATATTTGTCCTGAGGCTGTATGAAATTGAGAAGGAATGAGAGTGCTACAACCCCCATGAGGCTATACTCTGCATGTACAGTACATTTCTTCATTCATATGATTGGAATCATTAATATTTAATGAGCACGTCATGGCTGATGGAAACGCGAAAAAAATCATATCATCGAAACATCAACAAAATAATGAGATAAATAGACCAAACATGTCATAAACGTTTCTCACTGTAAAAAAAACAAGCATTCATTGTGTCAAAATGATCGATTTGTGAGGTTGTAGACTTAATGACACTGTACATAGTAGCACGGATGATATGTGAAGCTTGCGGAATTTTTTGCAAATGCATTTGCACGTTCCATCAACGTTCCATCGATCCAGACACACCTGCCCACGACACTAGATAACTTCTGGGTTCAAGAAATTGGATCCATTTGATTAATCTTGCCAAAATGACAGGAAAACAGGAAAGGGACATTCGATAAGCTATATAGCCTGAAGGAAATGTTAGAAATTGAACTCGCAAGCTCTCTTTCTTCTATGTTCGAGTGTATAAATGGAACCTAATATATAAAATGACACGTTACACAGCGTGATGTTGTTGCTCAAACACGGAAAACAGTGAGGCAGAATCATTATATACAACGTTTAGAATTGTTTAGTTCATTCTGCAATTACTTTTTCATAATTGTCTTTGTTCGTCCTTGTTTCTGATTTCCAACTTTGTATATGTAGTGAGTAGGAATAATTGGTGATCCCACCAATTTTTTTTTTACGAAGGATTTTTTGCGATACGAGCCTTCTCACCATCACGTTAAAAAATGAAGTGAAAATTTTGACCCAAAAATGAAATTCTGTTGTTTCTCGCCCTCGAACCCATTCTGTTGAACACAAGAAAAACTGAGAAATTAAGAAAAAAATGGTGCATCTTTTCAATTCAATTACAATGGAAGCTTTCAATCTTCAGAAAGGACTAAAAGCGCCATAAAAGTTTGCTTTTATTTTATTTCAAGTAGTTCATAGTGGTTTTTATTTTTTACTTTAGGTTTTAGTTAACTATGTCATGTACCATATTCCACATTTTCTGAAGCTGTACTATAGCTTTGTGTGATAAATTATTATAGAAATGTCTTATAAACATCTTATTTGATGCTTTTGCAAAATTTCAGTCCCCCGTTCATTGCAATAGCATGGAAATGAGCAACCAAATGTATTTGGAATGACATGAGGGTGAAAAAAATAAAACAGAATTTAAATTTTTGGGTGAACGATCCCTTTACAGTCGGACGGAGTCAGTATTAACTTATTCCCTTTTGTGTTGTCTTGATGAAAAAAAAAGGAAAAGAGAGGAGAAAAAAAGCAGCTGGCTCTGTGTTATATGTCAAAAGTGTATGAAATATTTCTGATTCAAGATGCCCTTTTTTAAATATGTTTTTAAGCTGAACTAATTCATCCATTGTTTCAATGAGACATGTGTAACGGGAGCATTTTCAAGGGAATAAACCCAGAATTTGTGATGCATTTGTCTAGACGGTCTCTCAGACAAACCGGTTTCTTCACATTTCTGTACTTCCATTGTCTTCTCTTTCCCCCCAAAGTTAATGAATCCAAATGCAAATAATAGCCAATATTCTGGTCTTTCTAATGTTATACTGATTAGAAAATAGCATTTCTAAACTAGTACTGGACATTGACATAATCATGCAGTATATTAAAAGTATAGTTGGCCCAATTTAAAATCCTGTAATAATTTACTCGCCCTCATGTCATTCCAAAGCTGACTTTTTTTATCTGCAGAACACCGAATAAGATTTTAAAGAACAGCTTTGTGACAACATGAGAGTGAGTAATGTACTCGCACTCAGGCCATCCAAGATGTAGTTTGTTTCTTCAACAGAACAGATTTGGAGAAATCTAGCATTACATCACTTCAGAATGAAGTGCCGTCAGAATTAGAGTTCTGACAAAAACATCACAAGTAATCCATAAGAAATCCACAGTCCTTCAATTAATGTCTCGTGAAGCGAAAAGTTGCATGTTTGTTATAAGCAGATCCATCATTAAGATGTTTTTAACTTCAAAACAAATACATTTTCAGTAAAATGAATGAAAAGTACATTTTTGGCTGAAATATTAATTTAATGCACATAAACACCACTGCAATAGCATAAGAATGGAATAACAGACCTCCCATGTCGTCAAAGGACGCACGTTCCTCATAGTTCGCACATTACCATAGTAAACCATTTGTAATTTTATTCAGTCTCAGTCGTGATTGTGTCTTGTCTGTCCTCCACAGTGTAAGTTATCAGCGTAGTTTCTAGTGGTATTAGTTGCTACTGCATCGATACTGTGCTGTTCTTAGCTGTACCCAGTGTGTCTGTTAAGATGACGGTTTTCACATCGACTCACACAATGCAGACTTACATGACTAAGACACCTGCACCCGTACTGTAGGCGTGAGTGTTGAAGTCTTTCCTCAGGGATTTGGAGAGGTGGTGAGATCGACGTTGGTGCATTCAGAGCAGAGAAAGAGTTTACTTTACAAAGTGGTTTTTTTTTTTTTTCTGAACAGTGTTGCATTTGTATAAATGATCAAGATTTGTAGCCTTCCTTTCTTCTGTTTTTGTATAAAGACTGACATATGTGCCAGATAAGACTTTTCCCAATGTCACGTTTTTCCATAATAAAGTACCCGGTGTTGTGCTCTCTTCTCCAGACTCTGTATCATTGAAATGCAAACATTTCAAAGGCCTGTGATCCATTCCCTTTCATTTTCTTTTCGTTTAACGTCATTTAACTTAAATGTTGGGCTCCGGTAATGCTTTGTACAAAAAAAGACTATAACAGGTAGCATTGAGTGTTATTGCTGCAAATCTTACGGTTATATAAATGCTTTAAAATAGAACCAAGAATTCATGATCTCCATGGAAACGGTCTTGAAGTGGGTGTCTTATGTAGGGGAATTATTTGCATCACTTTAAAATAAGGTGAATTTCCTAGTTGCTGCTTTAGTATCTAGGTTAGTGTTCATTTATAAATATATTTTTGTTAATTATTAACTTATAACATTTGCTCATAACACACTAATGTTGAATTAAACGACTACAAATGTTCAAATGTGTTAATATACAGTGGGTACGGAAAGTATTCAGACCCCCTTAAATTTTTCACTCTTTGTTATATTGCAGCCATTTGCTAAAATCATTTAAGTTAATTTTTTTTCCTCATTAATGTACACACAGCACCCCATATTGACAGAAAAACACAGAATTGTTGACATCTTTGCAGATTTATTAAAAAAGAAAAACTGAAAAATGCTCAGTATTTAGTAGAAGCACCCATTTGATCTAATACAGCCATGAGTCTTTTTGGGAAAGATCCAACAAGTTTTTCACACCTGGATTTGGGAATCCTCTGCCATTCCTCCTTGCAGATCCTCTCCAGTTCTATCAGGTTGGATGGTAAAGGGTCTGAATACTTTCCGTACCCACTGTATGTACAAAGTTACATTAACCTACATTAATAGATGCTGTAAAACATGTTAGTTTATGGTATTTAATGCATGTTACAGACTTGCACTGTCATTCAAATATTTTGGGACACTTAAGTTTTATTATTATTATTATGTAATAAAATTAATAATTTTATTGATACTTCAAAAGTGGTAAAAAGACATTGTTACCAAAAATATATATTTAAGATAAATGCTGTTCCTTTACTTTATTTATCAAAGAATCCTGAGTATCAGGATTTCCACAAAAATATTAATCAGCACAACTGTTTTGAACAATGATAATAAAAAGAAATGTTCCTTAGCACCAAAGCAGTTGTTTGGTTTGGAAAATTCAGCTTTTCCATCACAGGAATACATTGAAATAGATATTTTAAACTGTAATTCTTTTTCCCCAAAACATTTTTAAAAAATCTTACTAAACCCAAACTTTTGAATGGTTGTGTATTTACTAATATATTCATTCTAATAACTTTTTCAGTATTTAGTTTTCAAGTTGTTCTGTCACTTTTGTGTCTTGTTGCACAAAATCCAGAAATGCAATTGCAATTCTCTTCATAACTTACTAATAGTGTATTCACACCACTTTATTGGTGGTGTTTGCACAAGTTTCATTTGTTATTGCTCATAGTTTACATTTTGGGTTGTTCAGATAACTATACATATTCAATGTTGTTTGTGCTGCAGACATGAATGATATCTTATGCTGTGCTGCTTAAAGTGATCACACTTACAATTTCCTTTTTACGTTGCGCAACCGAGATTCGCAATTTGTTTCTGAAAACGTGAAGGTAGTTAGAAGTTTAACCTGCAAATTTATTAGATATGTCATTCATATCTGCTCTTTTGGTCTCACTGCACAACTATGTAATGTAAATATTCTCATTCACATCTGGGACGTGTGTTTCGCCCCTCCTCCACACACACTATCCTGTTGACAGCCAGAAGCCGTCCACCCTGGAAAGAAACTAAGCCATGTGTTGTATCTCACATGAGAATTGTTGACATTTTTGCAGATTTATTAAAAAAGAAAAACTGAAATATCACATGGTCTTAAGTATTCAGACCCTTTGCTGTGACACTCATATATTTAACTCAGGTGCTGTCCATTTGTTCTGATCATCCTTGAGATGGTTCTACACCTTCATTTGAGTCCAGCTGTGTTTGATTATACTGATTGGACTTGATTAGGAAAGCCACACACCTGTCTATATAAGACCTTACAGCTCACAGTGCATGTCAGAGCAAATGAGAATCATGAGGTCAAAGGAATTGCCTGAAGAGCTCAGAGACAGAATTGTGGCAAGGCACAGATCTGGCCAAGGTTACAGAAAAATTTCTGCTGCACTTAAGGTTCCTAAGAGCACGGTGGCCTCCATAATCCTTAAATGGAAGACGTTTGGGACGACCAGAACCCTTCCTAGAGCTGGTCGTCCGGCCAAACTGAGCTATCGGGGGAGAAGAGCCTTGGTGAGAGAGGTAAAGAAGAACCCAAAGATCACTGTGGCTGAGCTCCAGAGATGCAGTCGGGAGATGGGAGAAAGTTGTAGAAAGTCAACCATCACTGCAGCCCTCCACCAGTCGGGGCTTTATGGCAGAGTGGCCCGACGGAAGCCTCTCCTCATTGCAAGACACATGAAAGCCCGCATGGAGTTTGCTAAAAAACATCTGAAGGACTCCAAGATGGTGAGAAATAAGATTCTCTGGTCTGATGAGACCAAGATAGAACTTTTTGGCCTTAATTCTAAGCGGTATGTGTGGAGAAAACCAGGCACCTGTCCAATACAGTCCCAACAGTGAAGCATGGTGGTGGCAGCATCATGCTGTGGGGGTGTTTTTCAGCTGCAGGGACAGGACGACTGGTTGCAATTGAGGGAAAGATGAATGCGGCCAAGTACAGGGATATCCTGGATGAAAACCTTCTCCAGAGTGCTCAGGACCTCAGACTGGGCTGAAGGTTTACCTTCCAACAAGACAATGACCCTAAGCACACAGCTAAAATAACGAAGGAGTGGCTTCACAACAACTCTGTGACTGTTCTTGAATGGCCCAGCCAGAGCCCTGACTTAAACCCAATTGAGCATCTCTGGAGAGACCTAAAAATGGCTGTCCACCAACGTTTATCATCCAACCTGACAGAACTGGAGAGGATGTGCAAGGAGGAATGGCAGAGGATCCCCAATTCCAGGTGTGAAAAACTTGTTGCATCTTTTCCAAAAAGACTCATGGCTGTATTAGATCAGAAGGGTGCTTCTACTAAATACTGAGCAAAGGGTCTGAATATTTAGGACCATGTGATATTTCAGTTTTTCTTTTTTTTTAATAAATCTGCAAAAATGTCAACAATTCTGTGTTTTTCTGTCAATATGGGGTGCTGTGTGTACATTAATGAGGAAAAAAAATTAACTTAAATGATTTTAGCAAATGGCTGCAATATAACAAAGAGTGAAAAATTTAAGGGGGTCTGAATACTTTCCGTACCCACTGTATGTACAAAGTTACATTAACCTACATTAATAGATGCTGTAAAACATGTTAGTTTATGGTATTTAATGCATGTTACAGACTTGCACTGTCATTCAAATATTTTGGGACACTTAAGTTTTATTATTATTATTATGTAATAAAATTAATAATTTTATTGATACTTCAAAAGTGGTAAAAAGACATTGTTACCAAAAATATATATTTAAGATAAATGCTGTTCCTTTACTTTATTTATCAAAGAATCCTGAGTATCAGGATTTCCACAAAAATATTAATCAGCACAACTGTTTTGAACAATGATAATAAAAAGAAATGTTCCTTAGCACCAAAGCAGTTGTTTGGTTTGGAAAATTCAGCTTTTCCATCACAGGAATACATTGAAATAGATATTTTAAACTGTAATTCTTTTTCCCCAAAACATTTTTAAAAATTCTTACTAAACCCAAACTTTTGAATGGTTGTGTATTTACTAATATATTCATTCTAATAACTTTTTCAGTATTTAGTTTTCAAGTTGTTCTGTCACTTTTGTGTCTTGTTGCACAAAATCCAGAAATGCAATTGCAATTCTCTTCATAACTTACTAATAGTGTATTCACACCACTTTATTGGTGGTGTTTGCACAAGTTTCATTTGTTATTGCTCATAGTTTACATTTTAGGTTGCTCATAGGTTGTTCAGATAACTATACATATTCAATGTTGTTTGTGCTGCAGACATGAATGATATCTCATGCTGTGCTGCTTAAAGTGATCACACTTACAATTTCCTTTTTACGTTGCGCAACCGAGATTCGCAATTTGTTTCTGAAAACGGGAAGGTAGTTAGAAGTTTAACCTTAAAATTTATTAGATATGTCATTCATATCTGCTCTTTTGGTC